TAGAGATAATTAATGGGACAATTATTTGAACATACACTTAAAAACAAAACAATAATCTTCTCTATGAGTCTTCCCTAATCCCCTGACTAATTTCCACTGATTCCTCCAATATTTTATAATGCACTTCTGTGGTTAATTTCTTCTCCTTAGTACTTACCACCCTTTACCATTTTGAATATAACACTTTCTTCTTGGTTTTTATGTTATCTTGCTCTCCCAAATGTGTAGCACATGGGCAAGGCTAATGTCTATTATGTTTGCAATTATAGCTTCAGAACCTGGAACGCTGTCTGCCAAGGGGTTGGTCATATATACCCAATTTTTAAATGAATCCGTGAAGGAAATGTCTAGAAATTATCTCTCACAAAAGGAAAGTTAACCTGCCCATCACCTGCCCATCACGTATGTGTTGGTTCAGTTTGTTGTAACGTGATATCTTACATGGGGCGGTGATTCTGGGAGGCATGCTACTGGTACTTTAAAGACTAGTAAGGTCATCGTGGTACAGAGATGTCAGTGGAACTTTTGGACTAAAACAGACTAAGAAGAAGGTCCTGCTGAACTACTTCTAAAAACAATAGCCAGTAAAATATTATAAGCATGAGGTGAGCATTGTCTTATATAATGCCAGGGGAGTTCCTCAGATAGGAAGGCACTAAACATATAACTGGGATATAGCTGCCTCCTCGAAGTATGGACAACATTAATGATAGGATGGAATAAAGCTTTCAAGACCCTAATTCATGGATGTGGCACAATTCAAAATGAAAACAAACAGCAGCAAACATCCATGACTAGTTGGAACATAAAATCTATCAAGTATAAATCTAGAAATTGGGGAGTTATCAAAATGAAATGGATTCATAAAGATCACTTCCTAATCACGAGTGAACTAAAGTGGACGGGAATGGGCCATGTTGACTCAGGCAATTATATGATCTACTGTATCAGGCAAAAGAGTTGAAGAACAATGTAGTCACATTCCTTATTCTAGAAGAATATTTCAGATCTGTTCTGAAGAGGGGGAGTCCCTGTGTTCACAGTGGTTACAGGTTGGGCGGCAATCTTCGTAGGTGGCAGTCAGAAACTATCGGCCACTCTGAGGGAGAAAGAAACCCACAAGGGCAATTACTCCCTGTCCGCTACAGTGGCTCGGATTTCACGTATTCTGAAGTACAATGCTATCAATTACAGATACTATCCATCCTGGTACAAGGAAGGCCAGTTAATCTTATCAACATGTATGTACTAATGACTGGTGGCAATGCTGAACAAACTGAAGATTTCCCCCAACATCTGGAGTCTGATATTGATAAAACATACAAGCAAGATGAATTAATAATTACTTATGTTTCTAGTGCAAAAGTTGGAAATAAGGAAGAAGGACCAGTAATGGAAATATGACATTGATGAGGGATTTTTCGACAGACAATTTCACAATTTATTCTTTACAAATATATTTTTATAATAATACGTATGGTTCTATACACATGGCTTTTGCTGAATGGAATGCACAGGAATCAAAGTGACTACATGTGTGGAAAAAGAAAATGGAGAGTTTCATTACCATTAGTTAGAATAAGGACTACACACAGACCATTAATTCTTCATATACAAGTTGAAGTTGAAGCTGATGAATATTAAAAAAAACAAACTATCAAAGACAAGGTAAAACATTGAGGATGTCCCATATGAATTTAGAGACCACTTCAAGGACAGATTTCTGCATTGAACACAAATGACCAGATGAGTTGTCTTATGACATAAAAGGTATTATGCATAAAGAATTAAAAGATCATTATTAAAATATTTAATTTAAAGATCATTAAACACACACAAGTAAGAAAACACCAAAATGGATACACTCTGAAACTTGTTTTTGAATATAGAGTAGCTAAAGCAAAGAAGAAATCATGATGTCAAAGAAGCAGGAGAGACAATTTCGAATGGATGGCTCAAGAAGACAAAGTATGTGTAAAAACCTGGAGTTTAAAAAATGAAAAGACAGAACCCACTTTACATTTCTCCACTGAAAGCTCTGAAGAAAACATGTAAAATGAAGTTGCAATATTGAAGGATTGTAGGTGCAAAAGGTTGAACAATGTTGGAACATCAAGAGAAGGGGGCTTAAGAACAATCAGTTCTGACATCGTGGTACTGCTTGATGCACATCTTCATGAAAAGATCACTGAAGATAAGGGTGCTACAGTAAAGTGTGGTGAAGGAAGCAGATGGCACCTGGCTATCCATTGGCATAGTGTCTGGGGTCTTAAAGGCTTGAATTCAAAAAGCAGCTATTTGAGAGAGAAGTTAACTAAGTCCACATGGCAGAAGCACATCAGCTAGAGTGATCCAAAGATAACAAAAATGATGAACACCCAAATTGTGGAGGGCTTTGGGGGGGCTGTGGGAGCCCAAAGCCAGTCTGCAGAGTACTTAGCCAGACTAAGCAGATCCTTTCTAGGCATAGGCAAGCATCTAGAGCAGCCTTTCTATCAGGCATAGACCATTGTGATCTTGATCTGCTGGCTCTAACTTGGCTGGTTGACCACCCTGTAGACCCGATCTGAATTTATTCTGGGTGCAAATGTCTCTTCCTGGTTCCATGACAGAAATTGCTTCCCTGGATTTTTGAATGCTTGGGGGTTTTATTTCCTTCTTATGCATATCTGCATTTTTGTCTGTCTACTATTATGTTTTATCCTTACCACCTTAGGTGATCTCGTTTTTTGTGGTTTTCTGTCGGGTTTCCCAGCAGGGAAGCACAGGAGGAGTGGATGCACAAGGATAACGATGGATACAAGGGGCTATAGGGAACACAGAGGTGGGGGTGTATGATAGGGAGGGAGGGGATTTCAAGAGTGGATAATGAAGATGGGCATGGGAGGAGCACTAGAACAGATTGGGATTGCAGAACTCGTCTTAAAGGTGATATAACCATGGGGTAGGGGATACTCTAAAATTAATGTGGGGATGATTGTCCAATTCCCCTTGGTATGACTGGATGATTGAACTATTGAATTATATGATATGTAACTTGCCAATAAAACTGCAGGAAATACAAAAATCACAGAAGAAATATGAAGTTACTTTTCATTATGGCTCTGTCAAAACAATGAAGAGATCCAATCATTAAGCATTGCAAAATCTAGCAATATAAATAAAACAAGGTACAGCTATGCAAAAAACAAAAAGGAAAAGAAGAAAAAGGAAAGGCTACACAGAGTCACTGTACCACAATGTATTGCTCAACATTCAGTCATTTCAAGAGGCAGTATACCATCAAGAAAATACAGTATTGAAAGAAGAAGTTCAAACTTCACTGAAGTCATTGGTGAAAAACAAGGGTCGATCAAAGATTACAGCCTTCAAAATTACACTTCAGTGGACGCAAAGAAACATAATATGAAATGGAGAAAATACTTCAACTGTCAAGACATTCCTTTTACTTGGATCTACACCAATACTCCTGGAAGCAGCAGTCAGGAAATTAAATGATGCACTGCATTGGACAGGTATTCTACAAAATACTTCTTTCTTCTTAAAAAAGTTACAAGTGAAAAGGTCACTTGGAGTACTAAAGTGTGCCTAACTAAAGTAATGATCTTTTCAATTCCTTGCTATGTGTGCAAACATTGTATAATGAATGAGGAAGACCATGGAACAATTGGTGACTTTGAATTAAGGAGTTGGTGAAGAATGTAGTATATTGCATGGACCGTGAAAAGAATGAACGAATCCACCTTCAGAGGAGTATGACTAGAGTGCTCCTTAGATGCGCGGATGGAGGAACTTCATCTCACATGCAATGCAATGTGGTCAGGTAGGCTAAATCTATAGACTAGTTATCATGCTCAGTAGAGGGTTAGCCTAAAAAGAAGAAGGTCGTCAACCACAGGGATTGACGCTGGGCTACAGCAGTGGCCTCAAACACAGCGAGAGTTGTTAACATGGCTCGGCTGCAGACAGTGCTTTGTTCCGTTGTGCATAGGGTCACCATGACAGGGAAGGGACTCTATCGCACCCGACCATAAAATTACCTGCACAGAATTCACCTGGTATGTGTGTGAGGTGAAATATTTATATTAATAGTAATAATCAAAGCCTCGTTGTCATCGAGTCAATGAGACCCCCTGTGGGTTTCTGCAACAGTAACTGTTCACAGGAATAGAAAGTGCAGGAGTAGAAAGTTCAGTCTTTCTCCCGCAGAACTGCTGGTGGTTTTGAACTGCATACCATATGGATTGCAGCCCAACACATAACCACTACGCCAACATATTATAGATTGTAGGAGGTACATAGTGTTGTACATTGGGCTATGATCTGAAGAGTCAGCAGTTTGAAACCACCAGCCACTCCATCGGGGAAAGGCCAACCTTTCTCCTCCCGTAGAGAGTTACAGTCTCGGAAACCCACTGGGGCAGCTCTACACGGTCCTACAGGGTCGCTATGAGTCACATCGACTCGATGGTAGTACTATACATAATAAAACATATATGGCAATATTGAGGCAATTTCAAAATTTTCTTCCAATAATTATGATTTTTATGTTGTATTCTTTACATATAGGTCGACTAATGCACAGGAAAGTTCAACCCCTGACCTAGAGAATGGATGATTAAACAGCAATGACATGAGTTGTGAGTTCATTATCTAAGTTATTATTCTGTGGTAAACTTTTCTTCAACACTAAAAACTTCACGAAAAACAGGATCAATGCTAAGGTAAGGGAATATCTGACCAGTGAAAAATCTTTCCACTCCTAAAGGCAGAACGGCTTCCAAGGAGTACCGAGTACCACAGAACTCTGCCCTCTTTCTTCTCCGACACCGACCACGTGCTAGTGAAGATAATTTACCAAGGCTACACACCCTGCTGCAATCTCAGGTTCAGTAATCTGATTCATTTCCATGCAGGGGAAAAAAGGACATGCATATGCATGTAGAGCTGTTATTTCTCAATCTGAGTACGTACTCCTCCCCAAAGGGAAGTAAAAATGCTTTCGTTTTCATACCTCCAGAGACGAGTGAGAGGAGAAAGCCATGGAGGGTGAGATTTTTACTGTCCAAAATGTTATTATTGGGAGGAGGAAAATAATTTTTCAAGGGGTTGTATTTTTCAGCATTCCAAAATGGTATTATTGGGAGGAGGAAAATAATTTTGCAAGGGGTTGTATTTTTCAGCATTCCAAATTGCATTGTGTGACTGTCTATATGGTAAAGTAAGGCAGTGGTGGGAAAGTGGGAGAACAGGCAGGGAGCAGAGGCAAATACGGTGCCTAGAAGCTATTGGACTTGTGACGATGGACCCTGCTGGGGCAGTGGGCCTGTAAGAACATTCCTGCTGTTGTTTTGCAAACTGTAAACGGAATCCTCAAAGGAGAGGAACTTGGCTGAGGGGCAGATTCAGCCCAGGGTGGAAAATGGCAGCTATAACCAGCAAAAGAAACAGCTATCACTCAACCTTGCTCCGGGTGGTGCAAACATGGGTCACGGTTTATTCAGAGAGAGAAAATCTTAATCTCCAGACCACTCCATTTGTAAATACTAGGGGAAGATAATGTGATAGGAGTAGATGTGGAAATTTTTCTATACAAGGGATTAATTATATAAAAAAATCCAGTCCAAACCCACTGCTATGAAGGTGATTTTCAAGGTGGAAAATCTTTAAGGGAGCATATAGCCTCAATGTTCTCCCTCAGAGGTTGGTGGGTTTGAACCACTGACATTGTGTTCAGCAGTCCAATACTTACTCAGAAATGCCAACAGCAAAAAAAAAAAGTGCAAAACAAAAAAAGCCCAAACCCAAACTCACTGTCATTGGGTTTATGAGGACTCACAGTGACCATAACACTGCCCCAGTGAGTTTTTGAGGCTGTAACTCTTTATGGGTGTAGAAAGCCCCAAATCTTTCTCTTATGGAGCAACTGGTGGTTTGGAACAGTTGACCTTGCAGTTAGCATGGCTCTTGAAATACAGGAAGAAAAGATTTTAAGGTAATTCTATTTGAAGGAGGTTATTTCTTGCTACTGACATGCGAAGAAAATGAAGCTGTTTTCATGACTTGGGGAACCCTATCTTTTCCAACAGACAAAGTCCTCAAGGGAAAAAGAACGCTCTTTATCCAAGCAGTAAACAAGGGCACAATAAATGGCTTGCTGGATGAACTCCTAGAAAATAAAGTTCTGAGCCAAGAGGAGATGGAGACAATAAGAGATGAAAATCCCACTGTCATGAATAAGGCCCGAGCTTTGATTGATTCTGTCATTAAGAAAGGGCCCCAAGCGTGCAAGGTGTGGATCTTCCATCTTTGTGAAATAGACCCCCACCTGGCAGAGAAGCTGGAGCTCTCCCCGGGTAAGTGCCCTGGCCTCACGTGACAGCTCTATAGACCTGGAGCCACACATCCAAACTCTGCAGGACTTGGATCACTGTGGGCCCAGCTCCACTGCTTTGGGTAGTTCTTTCGCAGATCTCAGCCTCCTGCCTTGGGCCTCTGTCTTTCTGTTAGTTAGAATCCATGCGTTGTGCAGTACATGTGGTTAGTTCTAGAAGCTGATGGGAATGTTTGGACAACTTCATTCTGTACCCACAGTCTCTTCACAAGTCACTTATCAATTTTGTATATTTTCCAAATCCAGGGACCCGCTCAGCATGAACATACAGTTTAATGATATGAAGACCTTAGGCTTTTCTTTTCAACCACAGATCTATAATAAAATACCTTTGTAATATCCTTTTAAAATGTGCTTTCCAAGAGGAATTTATTCTACACTCATAGTGAAACACTCAGGAATACAGTGAATGCTTACAGGAAAATCAGAATATTAAGAGGTTTCTTCCTTACAGGCTCCTCTTGTTTTCATTTGCTTTTTTCATTTTCCCCACGATGGTCCAGTTTAGTCCTCAACACTGTTCAGATGGAAGCTCTGAAGAACAGCCTCTGCCACTGATCACAGAGGCACTTCCCCGATCATTTAAAATGAGGAAGACGTTCTTTGGAAACATGAAACCTATTTTCTAAGGAACAGAAAAGGCTATGCCTGTCCTGTGTGACCTAGCAGCTGCTATCTCTATTTATTATGAATCTCTTATTTTCTCTCAATTCTTTTTCATATTATCTGCTCACTGGCCCATACCTACACTTTGAAAGGAACAAACAACATCATTCAAACTAATAGGAAATCAATCAACGCTTCTTTCTTGTTCCATTCCTTCCAATCCATTCCTTGAATTCTAGACATGTTGTTAAAACCCACTGGGATATGTCTATCCTGAATTCTGCCTCTCTACGTTATCGATCAAAATTCCTTTAGTAATGTTTGTGGTAGCTTTTTCCCCTCTTCATACATTGCCATATTTTTCTATTACTACAAAACCACAACTCACTTTCCGTGAGTCAATTAGAACTCATGGTGCCCCTATATAGGTTTTCCAAAGGTGTATATTTTGCAGACAGCTTCATTCTGCCCTCCTGCCTCTCCCATGTAGCAAATGGTGGCTTTGAACGGCCACTTTGGGGCGAGCAGTCCGACAATTGCCCATCAACCCATCAGGGCTCATCTATGGCTATCGTGTATGCTAACTTATTCATTGTACTTCACTGAGAGAGGGTTTTAGAGGGCATTTCTCGACAGGTATGCTACTGTCTTAATAAGAGATCTTTTAGATATTTTTCTTGAAATTTGATGCTTTACTTGGCCCAACAGCGTAGGTGAGCGGGTTGTGGGAAAATTGCAACTTGTTTCCTTGGAACTGAAGTTTTGTGGGACTTTTGATGGCTTTTTTTTTTAATTAGAAAGGGTCATGGATTATGACAATCTTGTATTCAATAGACACTGTGAACCAAAGATGTGCAGTGTTTCCCATTTACTAGCTCATATTAATTTGAAGTGCTTCTGCCACTAGTTTCTTATGCACATGTATTTATGTGGAGTCATATAAAGCCCTAAATAAAATCGATGTCACTTCATATCCTTGTTGGCATAAACAATCAGGATGGAAAACTCAGAGGAAAAAGTAACGATTTGAGTGATTTTATGCAACCAAATTCTGTAGATAAAGGTTTCCAGTGTTCTCCTCCTGAAAGTCGGGCACAACAGTGGAAATTCCACAGACGGCAGGGAGACCATGACCTTCATGGGCCAGCTGGCGTCGCAGCTGATGAATGAAAACCGTAGAGTGAGCTTGGACCATTAGGTGTTAGCATCCTAGCTGCATCAGTGTCCTTTTCTAGAACACTTAGGAAGGAAGTGCCTTTAAAATCCCCAAGCTAATGAGCGATGGTCCTGTCTAAGGATGTCTCTTTCCTCAGCAAAATGAGGATAGAGGCTTTGGGGCACAGCCTAGCATGCAACTTGGTTTAATTTGAAAGACACTAAATACGCCAATATCCCAAACACTCCTGGCCAGTGTTTATCACCAACTAATAACAATTCATAGCAGTTGCTTTTCCTTTACGTTAGTGTCCACAGTAAAACCAGACAAAATGCAGAAAATCGAGAGCAGAATGCATGCAATTAAGATGACAAAATAATTTCCAGAAATCATCAGAGAGTAGCATGAAACACATAAAACGAGCTACGCTACACATAAGGAATCGCGCTCAAGCATGGGGATTTCAGTTATTCATGAACATTGGTTGGAAAAAGAAGGGCAGTATTAGTAATAAATAGGACTAAGTCTGAAGCAATTTTCAAGTTTTATGGGAAATTTGATGACATTTCACCAATATCAGTGATTCTAAAATGAAGGTGAAAAGTCATTTGAAAGACCATGAGAATTCCAGGATATTCCAGAATCCCACAGCTCCCAGACTCCAAACAATTCCTAATTGTCAACCTCCCTAATTCATCTTAGACCTGGAGCTGAGTATTCTAGCAAACCACTTCGCCATTTGATGATGTGATAAACTATCCAACGATAGGCACACAGCATAGATGCCTTTTCTTGATAGTCCTCCTTAGAGAGAATTCAGCCATGAGGTAGAAAACTTCACTTTGCACAAGCTGTCATACTGTAAGGGTTTCTTCCAGAATGACCAGGAGCCATTCATATCAAGAGATTTGTGGTTATGTCTAAATTCCCCTTTGTTCATAGAAAGCAGAGATAAAGACAGTCCTCTCCAAATATGCTATTGTTCAGCTTTGAGTGTTAAATGACTATCCGCTTCTTCACTGCAGCCATAGAGGGTTTTGCTTTCCACTGAGGTTTTGATTTCAGGTGAGTCAGACCTTTACCAGGTGTATTGATCAATTATCCAGTGTGGGGTGGGGGTGGGGGGGAACTTCACTGAGGTGTCTGCCACACATTGTGTCAATGTTCTTCAAAGTTAATGAACAACCTCTTACATTTCTTTATATTTCCTCAGGTTCTCAATCTAGAAGTGACTCTTCACAAGTTGTGCCCATGGCAGCACCTTTCCTGCAAGGTAATGGAGTTTGTAGAGCAAGTTCCTGTTTTGACCCCTCGCTTCTCTTGCATTAACTACTCACCCATGAAGTGAACCATGAGGGTCTAATTCAAAGAAATCATTCTTCTGTCTTTTTTCCCTAAACATCCTGTTTCAATGTTCCCATTAGTTGCCATAGCTTCTTCATCTATTTATATACTAAAATATTCTAAATAGGTGTCTCAAATCTAACCCTTTGAATTTGAATCTTCTTTATTCAGGTGTCCACAATTTGATTGAACAGATTCAATCAAAGCTCATACAGAATCCTTTTCTCTGATACCCAAAGGTGAATTGTCCAGGATTCCTGCCATGCGCTTTGCTTCTGGCTTCCCCGTTAGTCACTATCACCACCAGCACCCAGTCATTCAAACTAGAAATGTGCAATTCACCTGTATCTCCTACTCACTCATCTACAACATTTAAAAAGTAACCACACTTTAGAGATTCTGCCCTTCAGTGAGGATTCGACTCTTCTAATAGTCAGAACTCCCCCAGGTATAGTGCACCAAAACTCTCCTCACGTTTCTCTTGGTAAAGGTTTTGAACAGAGTAATCATGGTGGCTTATGTCTGACTTTTCCTAATGGAGTATTGGGAACATACTACACGTACAACAATAGTTGGTACATATAGTTTCACTGGAAGACTTCTCCAGTGTCACTAATAAATAGCATACATTATATGCCAACTATACTCCATGGGCTGTTCTATGGACAATTTCAGAAGTGATAAATGAAACACCAAAACTCCAGCTCTTATTGAGTTTGCATGAATGAATACACATGTAAGAATCTCTTTCACCAAGCTGTAACTAAATACAAATTTAGCAGTAACAATCCCTCTAAGTACACTTGTACAGTTAAAGTAACATTGAAAGCAGTTTAAAAAAAGACAATAAGCAAAACACAACATAAAAAAATCTATTATCATAACTCAGATATAATAGAAATGCAATTTTGTGTAATTGTAATTTAACTTATGTAAATGTAATTTAACTCATGAATTTTACTCAAGAAATTATAAAATGGGTAGATCGCCTTCAAATAGTAATTCAGCCATGCAGAACTCTTCCTCCTTTGTATCTGATGTCTGCCACATACTATGCGTAAGGAATATTGGTCCCTACCATCCAGTTAGTGAAATTGTCAAGAACATGATGAACTACTTACTTGTGTCCCTATTTCATTGCTTAGAACCTACTAATAGACACACACCTAACTGTAAGAGTAGTTGAACATGTAGACTAGCTATTGTGCCTTAAATGAGGATGAATCAATATTTTTGAATAGCTAATCAGTCCCCATTACCAAAATTAAGCAAAAATTATTATTGAATATATTGTAAATAATATATGAATTTCCTAGTTCTCAAAAGACAAGGAAGTTATTAAAAGTATCCACTGCTCTAATCAGACAAGGTCAGTAAAATCTAGGTTTCTTTTTAGCATATCTTATTTTTGGTAAATACAGCCTCATGCTTAGTACATAATCAGTATTTTAATAGTTCTAGAACACATTTTCACCCCCAGTTCTGGGATGATTTCATCCAGAAATGACCTTTTTTGTCTGTTAAAATTGATGAATGAAGTGTCTTTTTACAATAAAAGAACTTCATACTTGGGAGAAAGTTGACCCTGTTCGGAAATTGTTCTGTTGAATCATTAGGAGTGATTATCCTACACATGCTTGCTGAAGATTTCATAGATGAAGACATGAGTACATAATTTACACATTCTTTCACTTAGAAATATTATCATTGACAGCAAAACCTTTGTATTTAATATTTCACAGTTTCTCCCACTTTCCTAGGAAGAGACAGTACATGTTTCCTATCGATGGTTTCTATAGTTTTTCTTTACATGACAATTTTAATTATTGCTTGCCTTCTATAGTCAACACACTTTATGCTGCCTTGGTTTACATATTCTGACTATTCAATAGGTTCTTAAAATTCTTCTTCAAGTTGTAGTTCAAAATTGAATGTGATTTTTTAGTTAAGTAGTTTATTTTAAAAGAATTCTCCAAACAACTGGATAACTTATCTTTATTTTAAAAGTGGCAAATATTGTGTTAAATTACTGAGAAAGTAATCACTTTTCAGATGGTGTTTAATTTGAAATCAAATATAACCTCAAAACTCTTCTCACTTGAAACTCCGTGAAAACTCTGACCACATATTTACGAAATCAATGTGCATTACTGTGTGTTTATCAAGGGTCTACCATGATTATGACATTTATCATTCAGTTTCCTACTCTTTCTTGTTCATGCCTCCCTCTTCTCCTCACGTACACACACTGCAGACAACACAAATATTTTAAAATTTTGCTTGTTTGTTTGAGATAAACTTATTGTCCCTAAAGACTCTAAGCCCATTTCAGTTTTAATTTTCCTTCTCCTCATTATTACTAGGTTAAAAATGAATATTTGGATTTGCAGGATAAGAAATCTGGAGGGATTTTTTTTTTTTAAGAAACATACAAATGAAAACAATATCTTGTTATATTGTCCTATTTTTCCCACTTCCAAATTCTTCTTCTTTTTAATCTTTAACTTTGCCTTCTGCTCCTTATATTCTTAATGTGTAGTATTAGACCCATTAGCTAAATTAGTAAGTAGAAAACCATATCTTTTAAAAAATATATATAAATACAGTAATGAAGATTTAGTTCGTTTTTTTTTATTCTAGACTTTTCATCTTACAGAACAGATTTATGTGTTATTCTTTATCTAACATAGAGTTTTTTCTGAGTGTTTTTTTTATTCATAGCTTTGAAAAGCTCCTTTTCTGCTTTTCATACCAAAATATTTCTGATTGTATCTTAATATTCTTGTTTCTGAAGGATGAAAGTGGATCTCTGTATCTCACCACAGGAAATATCCTTCTGGCTTGGACCATGTCCAATTACAGTGCACTCACTGAACAATGTTGACAACTAGCCCAAGGGTCTCCTTCCTGTCTTCCTCTCTCACTTCATACACTCAGGATGCTGTACTGAGGGTCGAGCCAAAAAGCCTAGATGCCATGATTTATGATGTTTTTTGTCTCTTGCAGTTTCTCAGACAGTGCCGTCCAACCCAGCTGAGCTCAACTTCTCAGGACCAGGAGGGATTCTTAAGCTATGCCCACCAGAAACAGCACAAAGAATATGGAATGAAAAGTCAGCCGAGGTACTGAGGTCAAAAGATAGGGAGAGAGACCCATTTGAGATGGTTTCAAGGTCCATAGCTGTTTCTTAGAGAGAATTTCATTGAGAGGTTCTCAAAATTCATCACACTGCTCCTTTTCTATAATGGATTCCGATCTTCCAGTACTCTAGGATGATACGAGGCTTTCTAAGTTTGGTCCAATACATTGAGACATTAACCACAGAAGCTACTCAGTGTTTACTGTGTCAGACATTAAGCTTGTACATATCATACACCTTTAGCCCTAAAGTAACTATAATTTATATTAGTTATCAGAATCTGAAGTATAAATAGCTAAAGATTTTTCCTGTCATCAAATAGTGTCACTGAGGAGCCATTTAAAAAATCCAGTCATTCAGGTTTCAAGGCTGGTGCATCCCTCAGAACTTTACCTCGGAAAAAAAAATTAGTCTAATCCTTTACTGTAATTTGGGCATTTGCAAAGTCACATCTCCACTCATGAATTCTGATTCGTTTTAATTTGTGGTTCTTAAAATTGGAAACTGGATACAATGAAGAGAGAATAAACTGCCTTGGACCCTCATGACAAAAATTTAATTTAGAGAATCACTTACTAAAGAAAGTAAAACTACATATCCAATCTGTATTTCCACAGATTTACCCCATAAGAGAAAAGTCAACCCGCACACGCCTTGCCCTCATCATCTGCAACACAGAATTTGAGTGTCTTCCTAAGAGGGCTGGAGCGGATGTGGACATCAAAGGAATGATTATGCTGCTACAAGGACTGGGCTACAGCGTGCACTTGAAAGAAAATCTCACTGCTCCGGTAAAGTCTATTGTACCATAGACAAATGCTTATATACCGCATCCTCCTCTCAGTCTTAAACAGCTTTTTGAAAAACTGGGACACTCAATATTTTGCTGTTCCTGAAGATGCTCTTCTCCTTAGAGGGCACTTAATGACATACCTTCCCTTGTCATGGTGAGTTTTGCACCAAATGCATATAGAACGTATCTTTGGAAACCGTTCTATTGGCTCCATAATCGGCCCCTCCCCTCCCCCATTGCATTTGACATCTGCGAGTGATTTCATGCTCTTCACCTCTTGCTGAATTGAGACAGTTCTTTTCCACTCCATTGTTTTCCATAGTACCCCAAGATACCTAAGATGCCCCTGTATTTGATTGTTCTATGACATGATAATAAAGCCAAGTCCAAGCTTGTGACATGGTTTCTTTCAGGACATGATTGCAGAGCTGAAGGCGTTTGCCACCCGGAAAGAGCATGAGACGTCTGACAGTACTTTTGTTGTGTTCATGTCACATGGCATTCAGAATGGTATTTGTGGGACAAAGTACTCGGAGGGAATCTCAGATGCACTGGAAGTCAACACTATCTTTCAAATGTTGAACACCAAAAACTGTCCACATTTGAAGGACAAACCCAAGGTCATCATTATCCAGGCCTGCCGTGGCGGTGAGTGGTGAGGCCTACAACAGCGAGGGGCATTCGAGTACTGACCTCATCATCTATATACATTCAGTGATGTTTACATTCTCTTGTCTTCTTAGTGACAGGAATGTGTGCTGTCATCAAGGAAGGGGGTAACGTTCGTGACCGTGTGACTGACTGAGATCTGTCCTGCTTGACTAATAAGTTACTACTTTTAGTTCGGAGGGTTTGATACTTGCACACTGTTAGAATGTGTTTGAAGGTGGTAAGAGAATAACAATAGGAGTTGCTAAAAATATTAGCCTGAGATATATAGCTATATGTGCGTGGGAATGAAACATAAGCATGTGTGAAATGTTTAGGGGAGAAAGTTTGCCTTTTGGTAGTTGCTAATAACACAAACCTAATCCTGTCTTTCCAGGGAACCAAGGAGAGGTGTGGGTCAAGGACTCAGCAGGACTTTCTGCAGACATCTCCTCACTGGATCCAAGTGAGTTTGAAGATGATGCCATTAAGAAAGCCCATGTGGAGAAGGATTTCATAGCTTTCTGTTCATCGACACCAGGTAATTCTAAATGCTTGTGTTTCACCCGTTCAGAAATTCACATCCAACATGAGGTTCTTGTGTTGAATTTCGATGGCACATTGAAACCAACCCAAGCATTCCAGTGACACCTTACATTCTCCTCACCCTCAGAGATCAAATACATATTAGATACACATGCGTACTAAATTAGTTATTAGTGAACTTCATCTTGTACGTATTGTGATTGAAACTGAAGGCTAAGAATATAATTGAAGAGTATCTGTTCTGAAGTCAAAGGTGATATCTCTCTATAGAGAAGAGATCATTAATAATCACTGGGCAGTCTAATTTGCCTAGACCATAAGTATTTATAGCAGAGTTGCATGAGGGGAAAGGTGGGAAAATAGACCAGGCAAACCAAGGCCATAAATTGAAGAGGTTTCAATTACAATATGGACTTAATCAAGCAGAACAAACCTTAATGATTCCAAATCTAGTCCTCGGAGAAAGAGCCTGTGGTCACATCCTACCCATGCCAGTTGATATTTTGTAACTTGTTCTTGTTACGTGCAGTCGTGTGAGTTCTGACTCACAGCAACCCTGCACAGAAAGGATGAAATGCCACCCTGTCATGTGCTGTCTTTGCAAGCACCGATGGCCATGTTGGACCCCACGTTTTCAGCTATTGTGTCAACTCATGTCATCGAGGGGCTTCCTCGTTTTCACAGACTCTCTACTTAAGGGACCATGATTCTCCTCTCCACTGATTTGTAACATGTCCAAGATACTCTCTGAAACAATTTCACTTACTAGCTTCTCTGGACTCTCTTAATCCCTACCTCACATATATGAATAAAAATAACATTTTCTAAGGACCATATTAGGTAACACACATATGTGAAATAATAAACATGTTATATTAAACTACACATCAGTGACTAATATCTGTAAAGGTGTTAATATTTTGAAACACAGGTTTTATCTTAACTCACGTTTCCCCTCAAGATTTAAAGAAATAGCAGTTGCCTCTCTCCCTCCATGATGGTTTGCAGTTTCCTGGACTCACATTCTCTTGGTTGCTTTGGACTCTAACCCCTTTCTCTGGACAGATTGTTTAGTTTATGTTTTATAATCTGTAATAAAACTACCACCCATCAGCATGTCCTAGTTCTAAATTGTGCTGGCCATGTCCTGATTGAGAATTCAAGTTTTTTTCTTCCAATAATCAAAAGCCACCACCACAGCCACTCCAACAAGCAAAAAGGATCACACATTTACAGCTTAAATATATTTAGCGTATTTTACTGACTATATTAAGAAGTAAAGCATTTATGTAGCAATTATAAAAGTAACATTAAATTCAATATTAGGCATCACTGTTCTTTAGAAGCCTTTGATCTCCTTCAGCCTTTCATAGAAGATTTACCACTGACCATAGAGTCTTGGTGACATTATGGGCCAATCTTTGGGCTGCTAACCACAAGGTTGGTAGTTCTCACTGACCAGCTGCCTCACAGGAGAAAGAAGAGATGGTCTGCTCCCTGTGAGATGTATATTCTTTACAGGGTTGATGTGAGTTGGGATCCACTCACGAGCAATAGTTGGGGTTTTGGTTTAATATCCCCAGGCTGTCCTCTGGCTTCTCAGCATGCATCTCATTTTCCTCACTCCTCCATTCCAGATGGCTCCCAGAAACTGAATCTCAGTTAATTATTTTAAGTTCCTATTAACAACCTACCTCCATATTCCTTTTTGTGAAATCCAACCATGCAATAGTTCCCCCGCAACAAAGTTACCATCGACCCTTTCATTTAACAAAAGACTTCTGGGGTTAACTGTCTCCACCATTTCTCTACACATGTCCTTCCCTGGGATTGAAGTTACTTTCTCCGGGCAGCTGTTGTTTGCCATGGAATTTTATTGTTTTATTTTCATACCTTTTATTCTGGCTATCATTAGCTAAGTAAACTAAAGAGAGCGAGAGAGAGAGAGAGAGAGAGAGAGAGAGAGAGAGAGAGAGA